GAATCTCACATTTTGTATCTTGGTTTTAACCTGGATCTGTTYTTTTTCCCCTTTTCATTCAGTTTTGGTGAAGATATGCAGGGTTGCTTTTAGGGYTGTGTATTGGCAAGAATTTGGCGATACGATACATATCATGACAGAGGGGTCACGATACGATATATCCCGATATATTGCGATACTGTAAACAAGGCGATATATTGCGATTTTTTTGTCCAAAAATTCTATTAAATAAAAACCTCTTACTGGGGAAAAAATGAAAAACCAAAATTCATCATCTCAGAAATTTCTAATATTGCATAGACATATTTTTGATACATTTAGCTGTGTTCTGCTTTGTATGTGTTTTATTTTATTTGTTTCATACAGTATTTCATCCATGTTTTCAATTATTAGACTAAATTTGACAATAAATAGTTTGAAAATATATTTTTTGCAGCTTTTAGTTTTTAACATTAATTTACAATTTGGTCACCCAACACTTAACAATAGCATCTACCTCAAAAGGTAGAGGAGCCAATTGTCTGGCTCACTGCTGCCAACTAGTGGTCAGAGGCTGAACTACAACATTAAAATGAACGGCTGGCTGGAAAGTTGACATTTTAAACCTTAATAAAAAAATCGATACAGGGCTTTAGAATATCGATACAGTATTGGGAAATAAAATATCGCGATATTTCAGTGTATCAATATTTTCTTACACCCCTAGTTGCTTTAGTTTTATTTAGTTTTATTAACGTCTCGTCGAAAAGCTTTTGTTTGTATCTATTTTTTTGTTTTATGGTTTACCTTCATGGTTGATTTTCTTACAGTGTAACCATTCCTATCAATAATAAACCATTTTAGAAATGCGCATAGCGAAAGCCTCGCTTTTCAGGGTCAACTGGAATAAAAGCTGAGTTTGCAATGAAAACGCGATAAAATCAAAAAGCATGTTTATGAAAAATTACGWCTATGATCCTAAARGAAAGTTTAACACAAATCAGTTCATCAAATACATCAGGTTGGTTTAACAGTTACCTGTTGAATTCATGTAWTTATAATAGCTTTTCTATAACTACCTCAGATTTTTCACAATAAAACCTCTAAATGTGAGGTCGGCCCACTTCACACATTTGTGATCATTTCTAACTACAAAAGGTCCGATCAAGATGTACACAGCTTTTACATGCATATCAATGTTTTCATAAGGATTTGAAGTAGTTAATGTTTATAAACYATGAATAAAATGTGGATTTCTTTAATCTAAATAAGCCGAGGAGCTTTAAAAGGACTGATGTGGGAGCAGARGAGAGGCTCAGCTGTGAGGTCACCTGCATTCTCAGTGCTGGACAGCAGAGGGCAGCGCCACGCTCAGGAGTCCTGACGAGAAACCACTCAAATGATGGACGCACACACGCACGCACACACACACACACACACACACACACACACACACACCTGGCAGCTTCAGAGTAAAGAGCCTAATGTTATTACACCAGGCTTTTCTGTGTGAGTGGATGTGAATGTCAGGTTGCTATTTTTACCACTGACAGTGCTCGCTGTGGAAACAGTCAGGACGATATGATTTATATTTAGCACGGTGAAGTATTCTGCTTTCTGTCGGGGCTGCTCAACGTCACCGCTGGGTTTACGTCAGCAGGCCTGCAGGTCGAGGTCAATCCCCAAAAAACTCTCACAGACATTTAGGCCTATTTTCTACGAGTCATAAGGATGATAAAAAGAGAAAAGCGTACTGCTGGCTCGTCTTCCTGACAGGCAAATTAAATAAATTTGTCATTAAGTTGCTGACTGCAGACGCCGTCAAACTACGCCTGTGGGAAATCATTCATTAAGTCGAGCAAAGGTAAAAAACTGACAGTGTTGAGATTTTGTGGAAAGAATCTGTGTGCATGTGAGTGTTATATCAGCTGCTGGAACTATGATGCAACACCGACATGACAGAGTTACAGTCAAGATAACTTCAGCTCCACTTTTACTGTTAATGATCAGAGGAAAGTTCAATTTGGGTTTAAGACAAGAAAACAGGCAGCAGACTACAGTAAAATGTAAAGAAAGTGAAGAAATGTGAGGTTTTCACCTGTATGATAGATTTCACCCTTAATTTAAAAAGTTCAGTTTGCATCTAAATTCAAAATAAAAGGAGCAAACGTGTAATCAGGTTTGTTTGAGTTGAAAACTTAAATATCTTCATAACCCACTGCCTTCATTCTGTCTCTGGAGTGAGATAAAACTTAAAAACAGACAGATATCTGTGAAGCCTTTAAAGCTGAACCAGACCAGTCGTTAGGATCATTAAACACTAACCTGCTGCTGGTGGTTTGTTTTGGGCCAAAACAAAATTTTCACGGCAGTTAAGTTTTGGAAAAACAGTCAGTTCTGTCCTGATGACAGCTACGTTGGATAAATTCATCATCATCTGATCTTTATCCCCTCTGTTTTCAGTCAGATCCTGTAACATGTGGCTTTACAACGGTCCGGTTTTCAAACTGAACTTTATCCACGTTTTTCATCACATGGAGGCACATTTTCATTTAGAAAAGTTTCAGTTTTTCTCACTAATAAGCTTTGTGTAAATGAGATGCAAATGTAGCAGAAAATCTTTCTTTTTAAAAATATTCAGCGATTTGTGGGCGGGGTCTAGAAAATCTAGAGTTGCGCCACTCAAGGTGGAACCCTGTTGGAGTAGCTCTGTTACATTTATTCTGAGATATTCTCTTTTTTTAATTACTCTTTCCTTGATATAAATCCCTTTTTTTGGATCATTGTTCCCTCTGCTATTAGACGCTGTGCTGCTGGAAGGGTTTTTATTAACACATATCTTGCTTTTGGACATTTGTTATGATGCTTAACGACAGCAACATGGTGGTTTGTTATAACTGGGAGCAGCTGACTAACATGTTAAAAGCTCAAAAAAGACCTCAACTACTACAAATCCCAGACGAGTTGAGAAGGAGCAGCTCTGGATGCAGAGCAGGAGCAAAGAGGAGAGAAGGAGGAAGTTCAAACCATCTCTTCCATCAATCATGATGGGCAACATGAGATCGTTGGAGAACAAGTTGGACGGACTCCAAACCCTAACAGGAATTCAGCCAGAGTTTTCTGACCACATGATGACCAACCCTGAGATCCCTCTTCAGACTCAAACTACAACAGCTGTAAGACGGACCACTACAGGACATCCTTCCTGCCCGCAGCCATCAGTATCTGTAATAACTTTAAATTAAACAAGATAATACGAGTTACAACAACATTTAATTTTCCTTTGGGATGAACTGAATTGAATTGAATTGAATTTCCCTTTGGGATGAATTGAATTAATTGGACTGGACTGAATTGAATTGTCTAATTCAGGTTCAGGCTAATTTTAAAAAACTTAAAGACTTACTGTAGATGGTGATGGTCGTGGGCTACGAAACAGGAAAAATAGCTAAATTTTTGTAATCCAAATAAACACAACCATCATTCAAACTGGTAGATTTTCAGGTTTAAAACTAAAATCAGAACGTTCACAGAAATAATCCAGGATTTACCTTTAATGATACGTGACTAAAAGAGCATTCAGCTGTTTCTAACAAGACCACCACCTCTGTCTTACTTCTGTTGCTCCCATCAACTCTTGCAAAACCATTTAACTTGTAACTTAAAGTTAATAAATAAATCTTTACAGAAGGATTTGTCTATTAGCTCTGCTCAGAGTGGAATTACAAATTAGAGTAGCTTAAAGAGTATTTACACTTTAGGTATTCAGCCACCCAGCTCCACTCATGGCTGCCAAACAATGACATCTTTGTAGGGTCCCACCAAACCAGAGGGGAACCCTGCAAGCAGGTCTTTGTGCTGAGAAATGGAGGATATTCAACCTGACGAGTGAAACAGGGCTGAAATCATCAGTTTGTTGTGGGGAAAGAACTTCCCGCTTCAATTAGGCTCCAGAGTCGCGTGCAGGCCGTCATTCTTCTGACAGAAAACACACGAGGCTCAATATTCCCCCTGAAGAGATGCAACAATTTGTTGTTCTTGTGTGATGAGATGAAGGCGCGAGGGGCTCAGGTGCAGCAGCTGATAACGGAGGGAGGAAGAGGAGAAACAAGGTTTGTTCCCAGGGTTGTTGGTGGAACGACAGCGAGAGCAGCAAACGGGCTTAAAAACAAGATAAATCTGGCGTTTGGATTGCTGTACTTATAAAGACTCGTGCGTTATCATTTTGCCGACCCTGACGAGTAAAGAGACAGAAATACCATCATTCCAATTCTGCAACGAATGCAATGAACTTAGTCCTGATTATCTGAGCCTAAATTTAGACCACATTAAGCTCAAGCAGCTTAAGTCTTATTGCTTCATTTATGTTCCACACAAACAGCATCATCAGTGTGAAAAACACGCTGAAACTCCACATTTAAACAACCGATCGTGTCGTTTTTACATCGTTTTGTTAAAAGAACAAGTTTGAAGTTGAGTTTTTAGAGAATATTGGTTGTTTGTTTCTATCTGCAGTTATCTTTATTCCCATTCTTTAAATCCAGCAGCACGCTGGCAGAACAGGACTGGATGAAAAGAGTTTTTTGTTTTTTGTGCCTTAGCGCCGCTCCGTTTCCCAGGAGTTAAAGACAAACTTTGAACGTCGCTGGCTGTCTCGGAGAACATCAACGTTAAAAACTGCTACAGAGATTAGAACATTGGTGAGAAAGAACGAGGGAGAGCGTGGAAAAGAAAAGAAAAGCACGTTGTGAGACGGGTGAGGAGGAATAAATGGTGTTTGAAGTGTGAATTAAAGGATCCACTTTAGAACTACGAGGGTAGTGATAGTGGCCTTGAACACGGCTTTGGACAAGTCCTAAACTGCGGTTCAGGACCCGGTAATGAAGATGAAAGTGTTTTCTTAATGTCATCTTTAAACCAGAACATAACGGCACAAGTAAAACAGATATTCTTACTAAAGAAAGGTCCTCTGTTTCAGCCCCCAGGGACTGACTGAAGTCTTCAGCCTTTAGGGGGAGACTCTCCTCGTCTTCCTCTTCTTGACTGGGCTCCTCCCCCAGGGTGGGGAACACGGAGAGTTTGCCCACCTCGGCGTCCACGATGCCGTCCAAACTGTCTGTCAGCACGGCCAGCAGCGTCGCATTCTCCTTTTCTATCTGGTGGGAGTCAGACACAGAGCAAACGGTGAGGAGGTCAGCAGCAGTCCAGTCAAAAGGCTGCAGAAGGTGACAGGTGGTTTAAAGGGGCTGTGGCATCATTTTTTTGTAATAAATACGAATGCATTTCTGGAAAGACAACACTGATAAAATATTGCAGAACAAACGCCACGCCTCTGAGATGGACGGTTGTTGAGATATTCAGATGTGAAATAACAGGAAGTGATGTCAAAGGGGAAATGCTTGCAACTAACAACAGCTAACAACTCAGACTGTAGAGAAGAATCTGATGTTTCTTTAGATGCTTTTGAGTCACTATCAGAGAGCTGAAGAAGAGTCAGGGTTTAAATATTGCTTTAATAAACAAAAGACAAAAGAGTTCCCCTTTGATGTCACTTCCTGTTTCACTTTGGCTGAGCCAAGTTCAAAAGAATATATAACAGTTATGTGGCAAAATGGAAAACGTGTTTTATGTCAAGTTTCTTAATTATTTTCATTTATTTATTTTTAAATTTAAGTCATTCATAAAAACAATAAAAAGTCCATTAAAATAAAGTAAATCAATTATTGAATGAAAACGGGCGATGAAGGAATAAAAATTTTTTTATGTTTTAATTTTTGTACTTGAAGAATATGCTTTGTTACAAGCAGTGATTTATGAATATTTACATTTTGGTTTATTTGAGCAAAATGGATGTTTTTATTTTTATTTTTTTACACTGGCACCCGGTGATTACAAACATAGTTGTATTGGTAATGTTTGGAGTAGAATTAAATAATTACTGAACAAATCTGAAAACTGATTTTGCTTAAACTGCAGTTTAGTTTAGCTTAGCTTAGTTTAGTTTAACTTAGTTTAACTTGGTTTAGCTTAGCTTAGTTTATCTTACTTTAGTTTGAGTTAGTTCAGTTTAACTTAGTTTAACTTAACTTAGCTCAGTTTAGCTTAGCTTACTTCAGTTTAGTTTAATTTAGCTTAGTTTAGTTTAACGTAGTTTAACTTAACTTAGCTTAGTTTAGTTTAACTAACTTGGTTTAGCTTAGCTTCAGCCTGAGTCACACTACAAGATTTTAAAACAGTCGGCCGATTTTCAAGGACTGAGACACACGTGAGGATAAAAAAATCATGAATCTACCAGGTTTGGTCCTACAGTGTGTGGTGTACAGCCACACAGCACAGAGACAACACAACACACATGAAAAGGTAATTCACTCATGAACATTCAAATGTCAGATATTAAATCACGCGAGACTTCCTGAAATCTCGTGAGAATTCAGATGTCCGAGGAGAAATCTCATGTGACCTCCAGAGAGACGTGAGTTCAGAGTAAATAAACGTTTGCAACAAGGAAGAAACAATGTTGATCGTTTGTGGACTATTTTACAAAAGGAAAACTAATTCAGGACTTTTAACATCCAGCAGACTTTCTGCTGAGTCATGACAGTTTTTTTGTCTCCTGTATTTTGGAATCCCCTCCGTGTTTACGTCACCTCGCTTTCTGATTGGCTACACGTCTCATTCTTAGGCTGAGAGCTCAGGTGAACACTACACACACTGTGATATCGGGCCAAAAAAAATCAAACATGTCCCCGATTTGAGGTCGGAGCGGTCCTGACGTCCTTCCGAGCCGACTAGATCACTCTTAACTCACCAGCCATGGCGAGAATATCTGCTCAGATTATCTTTAGAGCCATCACCATAATCTGGACTTCCTTAAGATTATCGGAAGAGCAAAAATCGGCCTGATTTGCTTGTAGTGTGACGCCAGCCTAACATGAACTATCATCTTACAAAACTCACAAAAACTCTCCAGTAGTTTGACTGAAAATTATTTCTGTATATATGTTTTATTAGTTACTTGTGTCCTCGACCTAAATAAACACATTGTTATGGTTACAGTATGACAGACGAGACTCAATATAAAGATATTATTTTCTTCTTTTCTTCATCCTTCTTTCTGTAAATTCTTGTTTTGTCAGTTAAATTCATTTTTTCTTCATACAGTAAGTTTTACTCTTCTAAATWCATTTAATTGTAAAATAGGCTTTTAAACTTGACACAAATATGAAAAAAGTAAAACTTTTGTGTCTAAATGGGAGGAATAAGTTTCATCAGACAAAAGCTCTCCACTCTGTTGGAAACGTTTTAGTCATGAAGACAGTTGGAAAATCATCATCCTCTGAATGATTTATACATCTCGACTGGATTAGTGCCTAAAAATTACTGTCATYTATAGACAAAAGGATTCTTTTTAAAGTCCTGTATCTGTCCTGAATCGTTCCAAATATTCTCCTCTTCTGTTTTTTTTCATCCATTCAATCCAGTCAAATGATCTAAAGCAGGGGTGGGCAATCCTGGTCCTCGAGGGCCGCAGCCCTGCATGTTTTATTTTTTTCTCTGCTC